CCCCAAAACCCCAAAACCCCAAAACCCCTAACGCATTGCAATCGAAATAGATCAGTAGCATGATTAAAGTGGAATTCAAATTAATTATTTAAATCTGTTAAAATCAAAATGACTTCTTAAGAAGAGAATCTGCCTTAACACTTCAAATCTTAATCTCACAATCTTCAACAACTAGAGAACTATCTTTAATACTACAGACACAAGCTAGGTAACATTACAATGATATGAAACTATTTAATTAGATCTATTTGAGCAGGAGAGAATAGAATGGCAAGAGCAATCTGAATAGATGAGACTCTAAATTGAAAAATTTCATCAAAGTGAATAGCAAGTTTTGGGAAAGAAAAATGAAATTTCAGAAGTTTAAAAATCACTTAGTGACTCTCATTTGTCAATCTATGATGAAAGATAGCAATTTATCAAGCTTAAGAGAGAATATGACATTTTATTAAGTAAAATTAAAGCCAATTATCGAATTTGTTAATAGATCAAGAGAGGGAAGATTAGCGCAGAATAAGAGAATTGATGCAATACAATTAAGATATTGAAAACAGCTCTGACTTCCAAAACTTCAAAGACTGCAGACCAAATACCATTCAAAATTAGAACTCTAGTTTACTCTCAAACACTACACTAGCTGAGTCTAATCATAATTACTCAAGTTATAAAGGAAATAAGAGTGCTAAAAGTATAAATAATACTAGCAAAAGCCATAAGTAAACTCTAGCAATTGATAAAAGTTAGCAACTTAAGGATAAAACTAAAAAGCAACTTATTGATTAGCACTAGAAGTATTCTAGTAAAGTAATGCAAGCTGCTAATACAGTCAGAGATGGTAATACGATTTTTAAAACTGCTGGCTCATAATAAAGCTAGGGATATGGATAAGGGGGTGGCATTATAAAAACAGTTATTATGCCCAATGAAGAAATAAACAGATTGGGTGTTGAAGCAGAGGAGTTGAGGTAGACTCTTGGGGTCTCAAGGTAGCTATTTGAAGAAGCTATTCAAGGCTATCACAAAGATAGAATTATTAGGGAGCAAGAATTCAAGTTGAAGGAATAGGATTTTCATGAAAAGATTGAAAATCTCAAGAGAAGAGTGGCGGAGAGGTAGGAGATCAACTATCATCTTAATAAAGACTACTTCGCTTACAAGCACGTGATCAATAAATCAAAGCAAAAGCTTCAAGATGACTATGATCTATTGAAAGTTGAAAATTAAGCATTGAAGTCATAGTTGGATAAAATTATTGATGTAACTGATAACGATACATAGTATGCTTCAACCTTATTCTCTTCAAAAACAAGCAATTTTGCCTAGCGATTTAGAAAAGCTTCTAAAGAAAATGAAGAAGATTTGAACATTGTCAAGATTCAATATAGTTAAGTATAGGATAAGTACTTAAGTGACTTGTAAAGTATGGAAAGAAATCTTAACTAGGTTATTGATAAGAGCAAGTTGATTGTTAGCAGAAGAGCAACCGAGTCAAATGCTTTTAATGGGGATGTCTAGACTCTTAAAAAGAAGGTAAAGAATTATGAGGCTTACATTAAGACCTTGAAAGACTTAGTTGATTAAGAGAAGACTCAAGAACTTGTAAATATACTCTAAAAAGATGACAAAGTTGCCTGTGATGATGGCAGTGACATCACTCTAGGGCAACTTCACTCAGAAGTTTCAAGAATAGAACTTGAAGTGAGAGAGGCTAAAAAATATAATGTGAATGCTGTTTGATTTAAGAAAGGATAATGAATATGACAATTAATAGGCACTTATTGATAAATACTAATATTCCAATTCTTTCATCAAACTTTTAATGATGCATATGGGGTTTTGGGGTTTTGGGGTTTTGGGGTTTTGGGGTTTTGGGG